CAAATTAGTTTCGAAAACAATTGAGGTGTCATTAAAAATTTTCGTGCAATTACAATAACCTACGTAAGATCACGTATTTCAGTTATGATTAGAGCGCTGCGTATAGATTCTGATTGACATTGGGTCAAGCTTGTCTAACTGCTAATGCTGAAATCAGCATAAAGAGAATCCTATGCAGCTTCTGTGGTAGCTAGAATTCTAAAGGTTTTTCTTCTTACAGTCATCCATCACCTGTACACGGACGGTGTACAAGTGCTGTGTACGAGTGCTGTGTACCCGCTGTGTACATGTTCCTCCATGTACATGTAGAAAGTCCATCCCCAACGGAAATCTTATGTTACGTTTTTTCCTTATTTCATATTTCATTTTGATGAACACCTTGAAAATCGGAATGGCTAATGTTTTGAAAACATTTGAAACATGTTCTGCTATCTTCTTATTTTGCTACTAGGAAGTAGAATTAATAAACAGTTTCTAACAGAAAACAAGGCTTCTCTGGAAAAGACAAAGCTGTTCCACTTCATCACAAATATATAGGAAAAAGGAAACTGAAGTAATTTGAAGAATGAAGTTGATTGAAAGCAATAAATCAATAATATTTTGACTGAGCATTAAAAGATCTGATTGCAAGTTGGATCCATTGCGTGAAAACTGTTAAATGAGGAAATGCTCCTTATTTCACGCAATGAGCTGGTATAGCTACAACTCATTCATTAGCCAATGATGTTTTTCTCTTGGTGTTAAGCAAATCTTTATAGTTTTTTTTAGTTCCTATTGAGATGGAACTTGAGTTAAAAGTGAAATTTATACATTCTCATCACAATCTAATTTAGAAAAAAACGGAAAAAAATAAATTATCACACAAAAACGTAAGAAGGACTAGTTAATGTGAATACATAGTGTCTTGTGGTTGTGCTGAGTAGGATAATTCTGGAGTTGAATGAAGTTGCCATTCGTCGTATGCGTTATTCATTATTGTTGAAGAAGTTTCTGGTTGGTACACATATCCTATGGGCATATTCTGAAACAGTTCAGATTTAAAGACATAGCGAAGATCTGTTATAACCTCATTTGATCCATAGCCATACCAAGCCTCATAAGAAGCTGTACTTGATGTTACAGACGGGTTCCAAACAGCTGTAGAAGCTAGGGAAGGGCACGATAAATATCCATTTGCATATGGAACTGCCATAGATAGCCCCATAGATGGGGAGGTTAAAGAAACTATAAAGTTATCAATGAAAGTCCGTTCATTGAGAATTTAGCAAACCATTAACTGATGATGGTTGAACATCCAGATGTGTCTTATCGACACCGTAATCGGTTGACGGAACAACAGCTGACGTTGGTGTTGAAGTATATTCGAACTGAAAAAAGATAAATGACTTGCATAACACGTACTCATTGTTGCTTTAGGGAAATTAATGAAAGTTTATTTAACGATCTGATTGAATAATTAATGACTTTGTGGGAAAGAAAAATTTTTTTTCATGAACAAGTTCTCAATTCCAGAAAAAGGAGAGAGATGAGACTCTCAAGTCATTGTTTATATAATTCTCCTGCTCACTCTCTCATCTCTGTCACTCTCTCTCTCTCATACTCTAATGCCCCACTAAATGCAACAACAGCTAATTGACACCCGATATATGGCAATAAACAAGATAAACTTTCTATTCAGGACAGATTGAAGAAACAAAAGTTGTTCTACCCTCACCTGTTCATACCCATTAAAAGTTGGGCGTTTGTTTCGAGTTTTGTATCCTCGGGGACGGCGTCGGAAAGCTCCTTCTTCATATAAAAATTCACAATTATCTGATATTGTCCATTTATGTCCTTTGCGACCTCTATAGAACAAAATAACAGATTCATATGAGTTTTTCCAAAAAAAGAATAAACCTTTCTCCAGCATCCTTGGGTAACTTCACGAAGCATTCGTTCAGTGACAAGTTGTGACGAATGCTGTTTCTCCAGCCAACATACTCTCCTCGGAAAAAATCAAAATTATCTTGTAAATACGTATAGATCTCAGCTAGTGTAGCTTTACGGTCCGGCCTTTTCTGTAACAGAAAAGAAGTTTGAGCTTTATGTCTATTAGTAACTTACATGAATAGCCATAGCAATGAGTGCGATGTAGCTGAACGGAGGTTTTTCTTGTCTTTTAACATTTCTTCTCCGATTTTTTGTCGAATTGTTAGCGCTTGACGATATTCTTGGAGATGAAGACTGAAATTTTCAGTTGTACTTCTTTTATTTTCCCTTTCCATTCTTACTGGCTCATGATCCAGTAAATCCTCATGAGACGTTGCTTGTTCTACGGAAGGACCACCAAGAGCACCAAGAGAATGAGCGAGAGATGGATACTGTAGTTCACTGAAAATCAAAAACTATACCGTTTTATAAGAGTTTTTGTTGAGTTAAAAGAAAATATATGGTTATGATCATAATCGTAGGAAAGTGTTTTGGAAACTAAAAAAGGAAGTTCAAAATTAGAAAAAGAAACTGTTTGGTATTTACTTGATGGCAGAAGAGGTTGTGCATTAAGCACGAATAGAACAATAAACTGTAACAGAAAAGAAACATAACTTTCAATTGCTTTAGTAGGAGATAAACATTCAAAGTAAACTATAAAAAATTATGTTTAACTTACTTTTTTATGTCCAGTAATCCTTCGGAATCCATCATTTCCTTCGAGTACAGTTCCACGACTGGAACTCCGAAGTTTGATATGGAAGATGGCTGAATGATGGAAGCGGTTGTCAACGGAAGAATTTCCGTCGTGACGTCGTTAACTGAAATCGAGCGAATGATGACAGGAGGAGCTAAGCTCTTCCCTTACTTTCACCAGCTCTTCGTGCCCTCAATAGGGAGGGGCGGCGACTACCGTAATCCCTTGGAGTACAAGCTTCTCATCTGTTGCTCTTTCTCTCGTCTCTCTCACTTTTGTCTACTCTTTTGCGCTCTTCTCTCCCTCTCTTTTTTTTCTTTCTATTTAGCTCTCTTCTCGCCTCCTCATTCTTTTCTCTTATACGGTTCAATTTCTTTTTGAAATCGCTATCGTTCTCCATCTATGTAGCATTTGGTTATATATTCCTTCTATGTTATCATCTTTCATCACGAGAGTGATCACTCAATATTCAGAAAAGTTTTCTGAACATAGCAATAAAACATTACTCAGACTCACATAAAGAAAAAATGTGTTTTCAAACTTAGAGTACTGCTGCTGGACAGACATTCCTCAATTGGACTCTTCAACTCCAGATTTCTGTAATCCGATCTGACCATTTATGAACACAAGTCATTTACAATAAGGACAATACAATGATAGTTTTTGTATGATGCAAGTAAAGTTCTTGACCTTAAGTAGTCATTAAACAGGTTGTTTCCTGTGCAGTCTCAACAGGAAATCTCAATTTGTAGTTTGTGCTTGTGTCGATTCAGTAAGAGTTCATTGATTTCAATCGACTTTATTCATCTGTTAACACCAACTCTTAATATGTAACTGCTATACGTAACAGTTACGCCAATGAATTCTTATCAAGTGACAATATAATAAAATACAATAATATAGAAGCTCATAGGTCGGATCAGATTACCGGAGACCGGAATTACTGGCTGGCTGGGCTACTGATTCCAAGCAAGTGCCTGTATCGCATTTCACATTACGCAAGACCATTGATGAAACTATATCTGAAAATTCTACCTGTTAACCATTCTGAAATGGAATAGAAAATAAAATGTGGTCGAGAAAAATATGGACTGAGATCATATGTTTTGCATAGTTATCACAAAGTCACATCTTTGACCTTTCAGATGGTAACCGTTTGTCAAAGATGAAAGTAACATCTTGTTCGATAAAACAATGAAGCTTAGTCAGGATGCATTGAGTCATTCTAAACTGTTAGTTTCATTAGGTAAAGCCTTTCAAATGTATTATTTTCGAAAGAAGCAGAAGCAGCAGAAGATTGAAGAGGGTTACTGTATGATGATGAGCACATACTAATCCATCCTCGTAAATATAAACTATGAGAGAAGAAATCGCTGCAAAAGTCGATAATAGAAGTCAAATGCTATAGAAAATGGTTGAAGAGAGAGAGAGAATGAGAGAAATAGAGGGAAAAAGAGAGAATAGAGAGTCAGGAGGGGGTAAATGTTATGTATTTTATTATATTTTAAGTGAAAAATTATTATTAAAAATTTCATTATCTATGCAAGCTGATGGTGTAAAGAAAAATGATTCGGGTGATAGGCAATTGGCATGATTGCAATTCCATTACATTAGTATACAACATCCTTAAATTATTCTATTCAATAATAACATATAATAAATTTACTAATTGAATAATAAAGTAATAATAATAATGAAATAATCTTACTTCGTTTTCGTTTTTTGCCATTTGGATCAGTTGATGATGATGATGGTCGAGTGTGTGTCGTCGAGGCGACTGTTGAGAATGTTTTATCAGCCGAATCCTATTAATATAAATATTATTATTATTTATATAAAGATATGCAAAAATAATAATACTTTATTGTCAGTTTTCGTTGTTGATTCCGTTCTAAATGTATATATATATTATATAATATAATCAATATTCATAGATTTCACTATACTTTTTGGCTGCTTGCTCATCAGTATCAGATATATCACTAAAGATGACATCATCATATCCATGTTTATCATTACTTGCAGCTGCTGATGATTTTGCCATATTCTCAATCATTGCGCTTGTTTCAATTACGTATACGACCGATATCAATATGATATTCGTCTAAAAATAACTTTTTTTCAAATTTTTTTCATTAGAAGACCCACGTGGATTTCACGTGATCAACAAAGCCATTTTATATTATTTTTTTTATTCTTTTTTCTTCATTCTAGCTTTTCTTATATGTGTGTGTGCGGTTGTGTTTGAATTCGTCTTAAAAGCCCAAAATCAAATGGCCATATGAGAATGTTTTGTGATTTGCAGAGAGGAAAAAAAAACATTTTCAGTTTCTCGTAGTTTTTATGAAAATTGTCATCTTTCTTCATGAAAAGCTATGGAAATAATAATTATTTTACATGCTTGTCTGCTGTTCACATACATGTACACACACCATGCTCATGTCTGATGTACCAGCCAGCTTCAGCTATCATACACATATACACACCTCCAAAATGCATGTATGTATACATTCTTCTAGTTAGTATAACTTAATTTGCAATTAACATTCAATTTATGATTTCATTTTTTTTATTATCTTCTATCCACTTCCACACCCTGTAGGTTGTCATGACAGCAATTGCTAAAGTCGTAGACGTTGTCTCCAACCATTGGCGTCATCTGTAATCAGAGAGAGAGGCAAAAGAAAGAAGAAAAATGAGATTCTAAAGAGACTAGAAGAGATAAAAAGAAAGGAAATATGATTTCGGCATTCAATCCTGTTATTATGACTCTTAATTCAACGACAATTTTTCATACTTTTCTTACTTTATAATAATGAATGAAAGTTTCAGGAATTGAAAGAGAGAGAGAACTTGACAACTTGTGAATTCTCCTCATTACTTTTCTATTCATTTTCTCATTCAAATTTTCTTTTTTTTATTACATACTCTCAGTGCTTTTCACATGCAACAATACGACGGAGAGAAATTGAATGGAACAGTCGCCTGAGTTTCATGTCAAATTCATTTCTCCATTCATGTTTTCATTCAAATAAGGTGTAGTAGAATAAAAAACAATTTTTGATAATCATGACTTACTTTGTGCTTTTGCTTTCTGCTTTCTCTTTCTTTCATCTATCTTGCTCTCTTTTGCTCACTTTCCAGCTATTGTCAATGTGTTTCATCACCTACTCTATCTCTCTACCTCACATAATCTTCATTCAACAGCCTTTTCTCTCTCTCTCTCTCTATCTCTCTCTCAATTCAATATACTCCTAATTAGTACAAAAACATTTATTTAATATCAGTTCGTGTTCTTTCTTACAAATTAAAATATTGGTAATTGTATAAGCTTAATTGAATTCCTTTTATTTTTTTTGGTTAAAGAAACATGAAGATCGCAACACCACAGACGATGCAAACACGACGATCTACTACAACGGTTAGTTAAACATTTCCATTTTTTTTTCTTTTCCTCGAAATTCTTGTTGTCAGTCTATATATTTGAAATTCATAAAAAGCTTTTTTCTACGGATTCCTCGTTGATTTCCGTTTTATGCTTACGTCACATGCACACATATAGTTAGTTAGTTATATCGATGTAGTTAGTCCTATACACTCTCTATCAGGCTTCTCATTCTAAGATTTCTCTTTTTTCCAATCAAAAACTCTTGGTGAAACGAAGAAATCTCATTTAATCTAATTTCTCACTTTTTTCATCCACACTGCTGATACATGTATACATGTGCCAATATATAGATTCACAAGCTTTTCCCGTTACCTTTCCTTCATTTCATTTTCTGTTTTTAAATATTATTAGAATAACAGCATTTGATAATAAAATCATTTTCTCTTTCTCACTTTCTCATTCTTTTAACACAATTCTCTTCTTCCGACTAAGCTCCAATTTTAAGTTTTTTTTTATTTTATTTATAACAACCACCACTATCACCTACTTACATGCCACCTTGTCATATACAATGGCATCAGTCACCAACCTCTTTGCACACTCTCACCTCGAATATCAAAGAATCTCATAGATATTCTCACATCATACTTCCATTATCAATTATCATTTATTCATTAATAATTTATAATGTTTATGTTTATACATATGATTGATTGTTTGAAGGAGTCAATGAGTTCAATTATTCTTCCCAACGTTCCCACACAGCCAACAAACGGTATGATCAGGACGTATGAGAATCAGACACGAACATTCACTCGTCCATACTCAGCTAAAACTGTTTTCTTCTACAAAGAAGGCGATGAATACTTTTCCGTATGTTTAATCTTCTATTAAAACACTTTTTTTTCTTTTTTTTATCAAAAAAAAAGTAAATTTTCGTCCGTCACCATGACAACGGAACAACGGCGTTTGTAGACATTTCCTATCAAATTTCAACCTTTTTTCTTGAGAGCTCAAAAAAGAAAGAAAAGAAGATGAAAACAGTCAATTTTTGAAGAAAAAAATAGTCAAAAAACCATTGTTTTGTCCAGAAAAGGAGAAAAAAACGAAAAAAGTAAGTGTGTGAACCTGAATGACGCGAGATTTGAATATATTAACTCAAATTAACTATGTAATGGCACCTGTTGAAGGGTGTTCGAGTTCCAGTTTCAAAGCAACGTTATCGAACTATCGACAGCTTACTAGATGAATTAAATAGAAATATTCAGGTTATCCAATATATTATTGTATTTTGTCTATTAAATATGATTTAAGATGCCTTTCGGTGTTCGTCGATTAACAACTCCAATGGGACGGACAGCCATCGAATCAGTTGAACAATTGGAACACCTGGGAAAGTAAGATACATTAGCTTCTTTTCTTTATTTTTCTTTGTTTTATTTTGTTATTCAAACATATTATCCATTTTTGACGAAAAAAAAACGGAGATCGGTTACACCCTCATTCTATCAACCTCCTATCAGATAATGCCATGTCCCTCTCTTATCTTTGACTCTCATTTTTCTTAGAAAAATATCTTTTTCTATTCTTGTCTTATTATTTTTGGGCTTTAACTCTCACACCTGCCTTTCTAACTAGTCAGAAAACAAGACGTTTACTTTTCGTTTTGCCTTCTCTTCTCATTCAGAACAACGTCTTCGTCAAAAACTATTTTTTGATACAAAATACTTTTTCTTTTTTTCTGTTTTCATATCACAGATTCGCTTTCTCTTAATCAATGGGCTAAACTTCAGCTTAATCTTCTGCTGTTATCAAACCTTTAGTTGGGTATAATCTAAGTTATGCTTAATCCTCACATCTTTCACATCTTCATACTGTAAATAATCTGTTTTTAAATTAGAATCATTAGGATACCGCCTTTAGATAGCAAAGAAGAAGATAGAGAGAGAAGGAGAGAGAGAAGGAGAGAGAGAAGGAGAGAGAGAGAAAACGAAGAAAAAGGTTTTTTTTCTCTTTCAATTTCTTTTTATAGTAATTACACTCATTCCATCCATCGATGATCATTCTCTTCTCAGAAGCTCGTTTTCCGCTTCAACCGTTGTTTCATCCTATAATATATCTAAATTTAAGTGGCACTATAGAGAATGTTCTTACCTCCCATTCAACCAATTTCTTATTTTCCTGCAACTTGTAACTTCTGTAATGAGCACGTTGATTGGACTTCGCCTCCTCAAATAGTTTATTCCAAAAGACTCAAACGGATTTATGCATTGGCAAAACCTAAGCATCCTCCACTTAGGTTCGAATATCCAATGTTTAGATGTCAAAATGATAAATATAATAATAAATTAATATTATTCTTCTATTATTTAGATATGTGGCATCTTCAAATAAATATTGTCGTGGAATCAATTTGTCAGCTCTTGAAAGACTTAAAAAGGCACGTATGCAAGCTGTAGAAACTCTTCGCAAAGAACGTTCCGGTGGTCAATCTTTCTGGGTCTGTTTAGCACAAATACACATATAAATTTATATATCATTATAATTTATTTTATTATATTTTGTATTCAAAAGTAAGACATGAGAAAAAGAAGCAGAAATGTCATTTTTCGTCTTGAAAAGCTACAAAATTCATGTTTCTACCCTCAAAAACCCTTATGCATGTGTGTGCTTATCAGATAGCTGGATAGTTTCTGCCGTGATTTGCAAACATACTTATCCTGCTACCTTTTTCATTCAATAATATGACTTTAATTTTATAATAAATATTTATTTGCAGGTTCCCACCTCGCCTTCGTATAAAACGAAATTGCGTTTGTCACGCACTTTGGGATTTAATGTGATGCCGTCGAAACAGGTGAGTGTTGTTTTCATTCATTATAATTTTTATATTTTTTTCTTTTCAATTATTATTATGATGAAATATAGTTGAACACTCATCAAACTACAATTCATGCTCTTTCTAACGTTGTTTCAGATTTTTTTTGTCCTCAACGGCAAAATGGAAATGTATCGAACGTTATTGAATCCATTGCGACTGCCAACTATGGAACAACTATTAGCTGAAGTTAGTGAAGGCTTACAGGTACACATATTCTCACACTTGTTATGATTTGAAAAACATATAATGAAAGTATAGGTAGCCATTTTCCGTTTCTATACGACAGACGGATTACGAATTCTTAATGTATCTGATATGATTTCCATTAATCCTCCGAAGATTTACGCTTGTACACGTAATGACAGATTAAATATGCAAAGAAATAATTTTGAATTACCTTCAATACATTCAAATAAATATTATGGAGGAGGAAGCTATAAGAGCGGAACAGGTATATCATTCATTACATATGTAGATAATCCCTATTTATATATATATCTTTAAGAAACATCCTCATCTACGGGCGGCAATAATGGTATTGAGAAGCCAAGACGATTTGAAAGTGCTTTGAGACGTAATACTCGGAAACGTACAGGAGCTCCAATTCGACGTTTTACACGAACTTTACCCGGTATATATATATATTATTTGAGATACATTTATAACTATAATTTAGCTATAAATGGCAATTACAATGGCGAATTGCCGACACAGAAACGAACTTCATCTATTCCTGATGATACGGATTCGGGAAAAGCCAATTCGATAAGTAGTCGTCAGACGGATAATTCGCGAACGGAAGATGACGATCTATATGGGGTTGGCACTTCTATTATTCCTATGAAGGTAATCTATTGTGCTTATTTCTTAATTGAAAAGCTTAATGCAGATGAGGAAACCTCCACGTGTCGCCGGATTAGCACGCAATAAGGAAGAAAAAAGAAAAGCTTATTCAGATCGAAACAAGCCTTTGCCACCTACGACTAAGAATGTATCTGAAAGGGCTTTAGTAGTAGGAGAAGATGATAATGATAATCAAGAAGTAATAAACGAGGGAATAGAAGGTTTTAAAATCACAGTTACAGTAACCTTTTGTTTTTGTAGACGTTTCAGAGGCTTCTGATGAAGATGATGATCATGCGATAGCTTCAACCAGTCGAGAAGTACATGATGATGAGGAAGTCAAAGAAGATATTGAGAATAGTGAAGAACTCAATACAACTGAGAAAGTTGAAATGATTCGACATGAGAGCCTCTTGAATGAAGATACTGATATTGAGCAAGACCTAGTTATGACAGATGATAGTCGACCATCTTCATCGAAACACAGAAGGACTGTTCATCATGGGATGCCTGACGGTAATCTCCTTCTCCTTTAGAAAGGGTGTTTTTGATTGTGATACTGTTTTCAGTTAAAGAGGACGAAGAAACGCTTAAGGATGAAATGGAAGTTGTTGAAGACAACGTTATCGAAAACAAAGAAAATATTCAGGTTCTCTCAATTCTTTTTTTTTTGTTTTTCAAAACTATCATCTCAGCCAATAGAGGAAGGAGAAGAGAAAACAGAGGATATCGAAATGACTGAAGACAACGACGAAGCCGCGGACACAGCTGAAATAACAGCGGAAGAAGTTCAAGTGATTCCTGAAGAAGAAGAAGTAGTAGCAGTAGAAGATGAAACGAAGGAAGTAGTAGCAGTAGCAGATGAAACGGAGGAAGTAGAAAAGGAAGAACCTAAGATAGAAGATGATGAAGTACAGTTAAAGAATTTCTGTGGCACAACAAAATTCTATTTCCCAGGGAGAAATTCGACGAGACGGAGCAGCGACGACAATCCAATCTGTATACAGAGGATATCGAACAAGGAAACTATTGAAACTAGGTAACATTCAGACTTTTGACTTGACTTGTTGATAACGAGGTTATTCAGATGGTGAAGTAGAACCGATAAAAGTGGAAGAAGCACTTCCTGCTCTTGTGGAAGACGACGATGCCGTTACTGAGAGAAAAGGTACAAAAGACATTTGGAATCTATCAAAATCAAAATTGTTAAGATGATGAAGAAGTATTGATAGATGACTCATCACAAAGAGAGAAAAGTAAGTTCTACAGTGCCCCGATCAAATGAAAATCGATTTTAAGAATCAATGTACACTGTCCAAATAAACACTGGTAATCGATGGGGATCCGAGACGGAAGCTGATCTTTATGTTATGCTACACGGAGACGACGGAACATCCGAGAAAATCCTTTTACAGCATGAAGTGAGTTGTGATTGCGGTGAGCTTGGATACGCTTTATCCAAGTTAGATGATAGCATGACTCTTGATTGACAGAAAAGTTCTTTTCACGTAAAAGTTCGTTTCACGTGATAGATCTCTACATAAATTTTAATCTCACGTGGAAGTCCAGGTGACGTAAACAGGCTTCTCACATAAGGCTTCACGTGAACGTGCTTTTCATGTAAGACTTCTCCTGCTACGGAAATTAGCTGAATGTTATCTCCACAAGAATTATCAATTAATTGCACTTAGAGCTTGAAAGTAGTCTCACCCATCTTCTGAACTTCTACTCTTCTCTCGTTTTTATCTCTATCTCCCCCTTGACTTCTCTCTACTTTCCTTACTCAGCATCCAATCGACTGGCTTAGTATGAAAATTGCTTAGAGTAATTGCCACGAAATCCTGGCTCACCGTATGAATCTATCTCCTTTCCGCCCGATATCACCGCTCGCCTTTTTAGAATATTCCGTGGTTACAGGCGTCAGATCCAAGGTTCCAGAGAAACCAGAACGATTTCTTCCAAATCGACACACCTTCCGTTGGTACTATTAATAAGATAGTCTTGGGACACGATGAGAAAGGCTACGGTAATGGATTATGAGTACATTAGAAGACCATGAACGTTACAGGCGCTGGAATATTCGTTGGATACGTCATTGTGACAGAGAACATGTTAGAGGGACGTCAATTCTTCTTTTCTATAAACAAATGGTTTGATAGTGGACAGGTTAGTGTGGTACTCTTTACCGTGATTACATTATGTCTTCAAAGGTTGATGGAAAGATTGAACGGCCCATACCAGTAACAGCCTTTTACTATGTTAATAGTATACCAGATGAAAATGTTGTGACAGGTTTTCTTTATATTATTTTTAGTTTTAATATATTTTTCAATCTGTGCTTAGAAGGAAGATGGGAATTCGTGCTTCATAGTGGGAATAAACATGGCCAAGGAGGAACAACTTCAGGACTTCTTATATATGGCTATGGTTTGCAAGGAAGCTCTGTTATTCGTTTTGACAATGATACCTCCTTGAACAATGTTCCTTCAACTACTTTGGTTCAAGTGAATTTGTATAGAATTTTCATGTTTTCTCAACATTTCGTTTCCAGGTTGATTTTGGAGCCATTGGGGATTTGATCAAAGTCCGCTTCGAGCTTATTCCCATGGGCGATAGTCCAAATTATTTTTTGGAATATGTAGAACTGAGAGATTTGGATACAGAGGAGAGATTAGTTGTTAGGTAATAATTTTTTTATTATCGTAAAATATATTACATATTCATTCATTGAAGAGTTGGAAAATGGCTTGAGGTAGCTAGTGATAGAAAGAACCCCCAAGCTTTCCGTGAGCTAGGAGTATACAGAGCAGGAGTAGAAGGATTACATGGTTATCAATGAATGATTTGCGTAGAATTAACATTTCATTTACAGTCATCAACTATGAGGGAAGAGTTCATGTAGGCGAAATGAACTTATTGGAGAACGATCACTTATCTGGCCAGCTGATTGGAACATTTGACAGTGCCGTATTTCCTTTGATATATAACGAATCCAAAAAAGTTTGTTTACATTTTAAACTTCACTCAAGACTCATTTGAAGGAATATACTTTCAAAGTGGAATGTGTTGATCTGGGCAGAGTGTCAAAACTTAAGATCATTGGCAATTTCTCAAAACAAGGTGAGAAGGGATACACATCATCACCAAAAGAAGTAATCGTTGTAGGCGAAGCGATAATGGAAGGATTATCAGTTCTGCAAGACATTTGGGATTGTTATTCTCCCGGGATATCAGTTGCTGATCAGGTAACATCACCAAAATAATATTGTTCTTTGCAAAACAAAATTTTGTAGGTTCTGGTGACGCACGCGTATGTTCGCGAATCTTCTCATTGTCCATATCGTTATGTACTCAGTCAAGGAAAAGTAGTTGAATTAGAAGACTCCAAGCCTTACTTCAAAACTTTGGAACTGACAGGTACGATCATTATCTTTTGTTTTTCATCTTCAAATTTTCTCTAGCTATGGAAGGATTGTCTACAATGTATAAGAAGGACAAGATCCCTTCAGGAGTCGGCACGTGGACTTTGAATGTTTCAGTTGATGTATCATAAACTGCGTACTTCGGAAATCGAATAATAATATTTTCAGGGAAAGTTGGATAAACTACCAGATATTTGGCTCATTTCTGGACATAAAGCTCATCTGATGACTTTGGTCACAGAAGAACCTTCGGAAATTGTTTTACAAGTAAGGAAGAATCTCAGAAATAGATATATCATATGTTTTCCAGGTGAAAGCGAAAGAACTGAAATCTGTCGACAAAGTTAGAATATTTGCTGGACAGTTAGAGGCAGCTCAAGAATTAGTTGTAAAGAAGCTTCGATTAACAAATAGCTTGACAAAACAAATTATTCGTTTCCCTAATGTCGACACGGAATTTGGTTCAAATGATATTTATGAATTTTCAACGGTTTATCCGGATGTTTCTCCTAAACCAAGTAATCCTTTCATTCTTTGATGTTCATCTCTCATCTATTTTAGATATAACGTTTGATATCACTGTTTATACAACAAGCTCCAACGGAAGCTTCCTACCAGTCTTTAACCTGATTGGAAGTGAATCAGATTCAGGAGTTCGACAATGGGGTCCTAAGCGAACTTTAGAAAATGGGGTTTGTATCCTAGTATAAGAAATGATATTAAACTGTTTCATTTGCAGTTAGATGTCTTCGAGATAGACGCTGTTAGTCTGGGAGATCCCACAGAGATAGAAGTTATCATATTAGGAGATAAAGTAAGATCTTCATTCAAAGAACCGTCTCTCATAGCTACCAATCTATTTTTAGAAATCATCATGGTCATTCAAGGAAATTATTGTGAAGAATTCAGAGACACAGAAGATCTATAAGACGAGCGAAGGGTAAATTATATGGTTTTGCAGCAAACTATACATATAATTATAGAACAATTTCCAAACAAGGTGATGGCAAACGTTTTTCATTGCAACAGGTGCTTTCCACATAAAAATAATATTTTGCTCAATCATCACATACGGGCAGATAGTTAATAATTTATTCAAATTTTTATTATCAATCAATAAAATCTATTAATATAATGAAGAACGATTGTTCTAATATAACATATCATTTCAATTATTTACATTTTCTCTTTGAAATTACTAAATTAAATATTATTTTTTTCTTTCTAGTTTTGTTTGAAACATAAAAAAAAAGATTGAAAAACAAAAAAATGTCCTACAGCGATAACTGAAATGGGCGGCGACGTTCACCTGATATTCTCTGAAACACATATGCTTACAACACAGATCACTATGATGTTGATGTACCTTTGATTTGTTACTTCGGCGTCTACGATTTAGATTGAAACGAACGATGGACTCTTTCTTTTTGGTAGTACAGGAAGCACAAGCAGCTTCCGCCCAGCTTCGAAATTCAGATGCTCTGCCACAGACAAAAAATAGTTCTTGTCCCATACGTGACAGCATCCTGATGTCGTGACCTCGGACAGCAAAGTTCTGAGAAACAAGAATACAAGTTAATAATGACAAATCATAAATATTTACCTTAAACTGCTGGATTGTTCCATATATTATAGGTCTTTGACGAATTTCATCTATGACAACCATACAAGAATCCTTCAACATTCATGTTTTCAACATCTAATAGGTTCTATTACCTTCGTCATTATACGAACTTCTCTTTTCTTTGAAGAAGAGGAATTTTCTAAACGAGGTGAAGGTACCCATTGAGCGTATATTCCAGAGCCTTCAATTGAACAATCTTATATGATGAAGAGATGAAACCGAAACCTTTTGCCCGAATCCGACTCTTTGACCAGATGTTAAATTCATTTAAATGTTGTGATGATGGGAATCTAACTGATAGTAATCCTGTTGTGAACGAAAAATGAGCAATCGGGTTAGTAGTCTCTGCAGTAGTGCTAGTCAGTTTAATCAATAACAATATCTTACCGAAAGACATGTCTATTAAATTATTAGAGTTATGGATTTGATGTTCTCGCTTCTGAAACTTTATTAAAAACCAAAATGAGTTGTCCATTGAGGAAGGAGACACAATCAAATCTCTATAGAAGCACTAAACGGATATAGCTTAAAGTGGTATAGTTCGAAAACCATACTTTCCCATCGTTTTTCCAGAGAACTCTGCCATTGAACGAAGATCCGGATGACTAGAAAAATCTCTATTGAGCTGAGAGAGATTCCAAGTACTAACCGTAGATGAGCTGCTAGTAGAGGATAAACGATTTCTTCTGACTTTTCTCTCATTCTTCTTTCCACTCAGAAACCTTTTCCGGCGAACAACACTCAGAACACTTGTTAGGAAATTCATGTTCTAATAAAATAAATATTATAAAAAATAGCAAAAAGTGGGATGAAAAGATATCCCCGACTCCGTTCAAAAACTCCATTGCTCTGAACTTTGAACTCATCCGTCCACTCTGGCGCCTATTGCTATCTTTCTTATTTGGGGAAAAGAGATAGTTTCAGTTTTAGCCGTAGAGCACAATATCTTGAGGGCAAAACAATATACTCTTCGACATCTATTGGATCATTTAAAGTACAAATTACTTAGAGGAATCTCTTATGATTTCACTTAGCTAAGCACGACCGATCCCTGATGCGTGAGAATTACAAAATGAAAGTTCCGTTAAGATTCATGAATCACCGCTAACTGTTATTTCAGAATAAGAAATGAGATGATGAGGAAGGCTTTCATTTTTTGTTCTTTAGTGTGCTGTATAGCGGTCGTGCTAAGACGATTGTGGTGTGTGAAGATGTGACGATGCTATATAACTTTTTTTCAGCTTCTTCTCTCAAACTTTTTTTTTTCTTGTGTCTGTGTGTCTGTGTGTAAAATAAAAATATATGATTAAGAATATTTATTTTTCGCGATAATATTATATAAACAAGATAATGCACAAGAACATAGAGACGTGGATAGCTCGAATCGTACTAACTAAAAGACGAAGAAGATGAAGATGTAAGAAAAAAAAATCCAATAATTGAAAAGAAAACGAAACATTTTCATTATTGGTTCAGCTCATGAGTATGGAAAGGGTATATGAAAGTAAATAATAATAATAATAATTATAATAATAATATTAAAAATACAAAGAGACTAGGGAGGGGGAGGGGATAAGAAACCGGAACGATTTCAACAATCATAAAGTAAAATAGTAAAATGAATGAATTTCACCAAAAAGAAAAAAACTGAAGAAAAAGGGTTATAAGCTCACAACTAGAAATCATAGAAAGAATAGATCGTGATTTGGATGATTATGTGTATATCATAAACTATATGATATACATATTAACCATATTGATTAATTATATGAAAATGTATAATCAAGAAAGGAATTCTACTTAAAGATAAATGAGATTTAAAGCATATTCCAGCTGATTGTTTGATACTAAATGTCTTTGCTTTATATTTTTTGAGACAATGTGATGGAGAGAAAATGAATGAAAACAAACAAAAAATGAGTTTTAAAAAACGATTTTCGGTTGGGCTAAGCAGCAGATTTGTATTGTTCTTTCAATAAAAAACAATTAAGAAACATCAATCTGATGTTTATAAATGACCGTTTTTGTGTTTTACAAAAAGGAGAAAAAAAAATATTATTTTGGGTTATTGATTGATTAACAAGTAAACGATGTGGGAAGAATGCGAGAGAAGGGAAGGAAGGATAAGGAGGGAAGAATGAGTGGGGAAAGAAGCATGTTATTCCTTAATAACTGACTAGTTCATATTGTAGATTTGTGGAGGAAAAACAGGAGAAAGCACTACCCAAGTTACATAGTTTCGTTTGGTTTGTCTTTGTGTGTGTGTGTTCGCCAACACAACATCAATCGGGAAAAGAAAAAAATAGTTTTTGATTATAAATCGAGAAATGTCTATGATATAGACAAGTGTTGAGAAAAAGAAAACTGAAATTATTGAAATTTTTTGTTTCTTTTATAAATTAAAATTTCGTTTTTTGAAGTTCCAGCTTCTATTCAGTTTTCGTGTTGATGCTATTAGATGTTGTTGTGATTGTGGCTGTCGCAGTTGCATTACTAGAGGATGAAGCTGATGGACAGGAAGTTTGATTTGCTGGATCATTTGATGGATCGAGAGCAAATAACACTCCTTGATAGGTTATTCCATTGATTTCCATCGATACAACAATTGAATTATCTCCTTGCTGTCCTTCTGCAACATAGAGATTACGGTATGCATGGAGAGGGCTAGATGTTACCAGGCTTTCGTGTCGTTATCTTCATCTGACCACCTAATGATCCACTAATATCTTCATTTAATCGTAATCGTTTAACTATAACATGTATGATATTCGTTTGTTTCATTTAGCCTTATCATACCTGGCACAGCTTCGGAATCTAAGCTGGAAGTTGATTCTCTACCCGATATTCCAGCAGTAGCTCCACCTAAGCTTTGTCTTGCAGCAGCTTCAACAGCAGCTCTGTAATCACTAAGAGGCAATTAATAAATAGCCAAATAACTTAGTTTTGTTCAAAACAATCAAAAGTTTGAACTAAACAGAAATATGAATCAAAATCAAATTGTACCTTTGTGCTCGTTCTAGTTGTCGCTTTTGAGCATCAAGCAGAGCCATTTGTTCAACTTGTTGATAAGCAGACAAGAAGCTATTCTGCGAGACCATACCCATTCCATTATCATCATCGAGAAAATCTGTAATATATAATAAATTATTAATTATATAAGTCTCAATTAGGATATGTCCACAATCCGTACCATTACGCATTCCTAATCCGGACAAATGCTTACCAAGAAGATTTATTCCAGCAGGATGACCAATAGAATAACCAAGAGGTCCAAAGTTTGGGGGATTTGTGGTACGTCTACCTAAACATAAAAAAGAAATTAATTATATATATATGATTAAATCAATTATAACATACTATTGCCTCCTTCACGTCGATTACCATCAATAGCAGCTTGCAAGTCAGATGGATTTGATAATCCTTCCTTTTCACATTCATAATCATATAAATATTTTTGATATCTATAATATATATAAATATGTAATCTTATATATGATATAGTTAACATACTGTGTGCGTAATGTAAATGCCGCGGAAGTAATACTAGAAGGTAAATTAAGACCTTTTGTGATTTCTCTCCATAACTTTTTGTTGATGATTTCAACTAAACCCCCATGTTGAACGACCAGTCGATATAACTCATAGAGATCCAAAACCTTTAAGCATATACATTAAGCTTCATCTATCTATGTTATCATTGTTCTACCTGCTTTGCCATAATTGGAATTCTTGTGACCGGTTTTCCTGAAAGCACAAAAAACTTTAAAAAAAAGAAATAATTCCTTTGAAGTATTCTGCTCTTGTGTTTGTGTGTGTATATCAACCGCTTTTCATTTGCGTCACTTGTCAAAATGAACTTTATTCGATTTCTTTTCGAAACATTCAAGTGTGTATCGTGAATATTCACGTGCAACACGTGAACAGTCAACGAATTGAATGTGTAAAATGAAAAGAAAGATAAAGTTCCCCTTGTTATATTTTGTATAATTTTAGTTTGTGAAAAGATGAAGTTGTATTAGATTAAGAACTGCGCGAACAACATGTCAAACAATCTCGTCTTAATCAGAAGTCAGTTGAGGTTCTCTTTCTATTTCACATTATTTCTATTTACATTTCTTCTTTCGTTGTTTAAATTTGAAATTATTATGTTTCTTTGAATATTCTTTAAAAATATTTTTTTTTCTCTCTCTCTCTCTCTATCTCCTCCTACCTAACAAAAAGCAGAAGAGAGAGAGAAGAAAAAATTATTTTGTTTTTGCTATAAGTTTGCAAGAGAAGCGGAAAGGATGTTTCTTCACTCATCAAGCTATGAACTTTCAGAAATTAAAAGAAACTTCAGCATTTGAATGAGAAAGCTTGCGGTCTTTCCAGCTTCTCAACGCTTTTTTTTTCTTCAAAAAAAAAAAAATTTTGTTCTTCAAACATTGAGTGAGAAGAAGAAGAAGTGCATTAGAAATATCTTAACAACTGATTATAGCTTATCAATTGAGCTGAATGTGTGTACCAACCCACTCTATGGACATTTGAGAAGAAGAAAAATCATTTTTCTTCTTCATCTTATCTTTTGACGTATATACATTTCATAAGATGAAAATATGATTTTTCAAAGTTGAAGCCAATAGCATATAGATCTATGAACTTACCGATTCGATGCATAAAACTGAGCCAATCATCAAGCCATTCCTTTCGCTTAACATCATCCGATAACTCATAGAGCTTAAACAATACAAAATTAATTTTATTTATTTTACTTTTAAGTAACAAAAAACACACACACACACACACAAACATAAGATATGCTCTCTCTCTATCATCATCATCATCATCATTCATACGTTTATTGGGTGGAAATGAGACAGATGGCACTGATAGTCTTACAATTACAACAAGTGTTGTAAAAATATAAATATTGTATCTTATTTAACTATATATAGTTAATTATATGCGTCATATGGGTTACTGTAATTTATAACTTTTTATTTGAAAGAAGCTCATTCGTTCTCTTCTTAACTCTCTCCCTCCATCCCTACTCTCTCTTCTTATTCTTCGTCGTCGTCTTCTCATTCATTGATGAGCTGAGAATATGACAAAAGACAAGAAACTAAAAGAGAAATGAATGAATTAGTTAGCTGACTGGAGGTACTTTAGCTCTAATTCCCCTGGAGAGTAACGACAGAATACATCAATTAGTTCCCACAATAATTGAAGCAAAGATAGAGATATAGATAGATGGATATGTATATATATATTTTTCTTTTTAAAATTACGGTATTAATAAGAGAAACATGGAAGTTAGGCAAGAATTCATATATGGGAAGATGGGAGATGGATAAACGTCTCTCTGAAGATGCTTTAAGTTGATGTTACATCTTCAGCTTTTCCTTCAATTGCTTAGCATTATACCAACTAATCATTGGCCTCTCTCAAATATTACTCATCTTAACTCTCTTTCGTTATTCACTCATTCTATCTATCGTCTTTATGCTCATTTAAGTCAACTCTATCCCTCTTTAGCTTACTACATTACCTCTCTCTCTGTCTCTCTCTATCTCTCTCTCTCTTTCCGTATTGTCAGATGGCTTTTTCTCTCATATTTGTTTTGTATTTTTGTGATTGTTTGTAACTTAAATTGTACAATAATATTCTAAATTTTCTCATCTACTTTGCTTCCTCTCTCCCTAACTCTCTCTTCTTCCCTCCCTCCCTCCATACCTCCCTCCCTAACTGTAATGATGACTTCTGTCTGTCATTTGTTATGTTTCTCATTCAATATTGCTTGAGCACAATAAGCAATAACAACTAATTAGGGAGATGAATGAAGGTGAAGAAGAGCTACCAACTGTCCTATCTCTCACCACTCTCTCATATATACATATGTTATAGATCTATCTATCATCTCATTCATTTTATGTATGGTTTTGATACCTTTTGGTTTGAAAGACAATAGAACTCATCACACTTTACAACTGAAAAGTCATCAGTAGCCATATATAGTCTTTACTATATACACAAATACAAAAGAATGAACAGCCGATGCTTTTATGTGATTTTTGTCATCAGGAGGAACATCACGTCTACAGTATCCCAAACTAATTCAACAATTAAGCTACGGATGATATATAATTCAATTTTTTTAAGCTCCAAAATCATTAATCAAAAATGCAGAAAGATGAATAAAAAAAGTCATTTAGTTATTATTTTTCTTCTTTTTCTCTTCTTTTTTTTCTTCTCTTTCTCTCTCTATCTCTCTCTATCTCTCTCTCTATCTCTTCAACAACCTTTATAAGGTGAATGACAAAAAAGAGACTCGTGAATACTTCACGTCTGTCACAATTTTAACGAAAAAACAATGGCAATTTGCTTGCAAAATCAGCTCATAAGCCGGGGCATGCAGTCATAACTAAAGTCTTCTTTATATATATTATTTTAAGGAAAAGATTCCATTATATAATAGAGGAAGAAAAAAGAGAGAGAGAGGGAGAGGAAGAGGGAGTAAAAAAAAATATTTCACAAAACGAAAGATAAAAGGTGAGAGAGAAAGAAATATTTAGAGGACACAAAAAGGATTACGGTAGCTTCTTAGAAGAGAATTGTCGTGGTGGTGCTGGTGGTGTGGATATGGCTTGAATCGACACGCAATAGTGATTCTCAATTAGGATCCACTCGTCCAGAAGACCAGATTACAGTAATTTTTTGTTGTTTTTTAGGATGAAGTAACATTTTTTTTCTTTTTTTTTTCAATTATTCAAATTTGGCACCATCATACACATACACACACACACATATATGGACACACTTTTTCGTCTTTTGAAATGAAAACAAAATATGAAGCTGCGAACCTGTTTGAACTGTTCCTCGTAGGACCATGTTGGACCACCAGCTCCAGCTTGAGAGCCGTTCTCTCCCAAGTTTTCATCCAGTTTAGAGTCTTTTCTAAAATCAGGATGTCCATTATGGGGACAGTCTTTCTGATAATGCTTACACAACAGACATATCTTCACCATCATTGTTACTTGTACCATTCTCGTTATCATCATCATCTTCCGGTCCCGGTGATACTCCTGAACCAGAGAGTCCCAAAAGTTTATTCTGCGAGAATAGGATAAGGGTTTGAAGATAGAGAAATGCGAAATACTTGAAGTGATAATTGATTTTGTTGCATTGAAGCCAAAATATTTGGTAACATATGAAGATTGAAAGGTGAACGAAATCCACCCAAAGCTGCAAATAATGATAAAGCTTAATATATATATGATAAAGTATGAAAACCTCCTAAACTATTTGTAAATCGTTGGAAAACTCTTTGTTGTTCTTCCAAATCGAAAGAGTTTACATTGGGTTCAGGTGAGATAGCAGCCCCGCTGTTGTCCTCAAAATTGTCTTTTGTTAATTTTATAAGAAAATTGTCTTTTTTTTAGAATAAACAGAGAAAATGGGAAGAAGAAGAGGAAAAGTCAGTTTCTATTCATTCTTTTCATAATTTTGTAATATTTGTATTTGTATTTAAGCTAAAACACATGTTCTTCACAGATTCTTCTTGTTCGAATTATTTATAAGAAATAAGACGATATAAAGTCTGTTGAAAAGACGAAATAAAGCCGGCTTTTCGTTAAGCAAAACGAAGAAAAAAAAAAGTTTCTGACCTCATTCGCCGTGCCGGGCTCAGTCGTGTTGTCGTCATTTCGTGTGCTCAAACTAAGTGGAGTATTGAAAAGCTGTGTGTGGTTTTCGTCTATCCGCAGTGACATTTCCCTTAAAAGGAAATATTAATAAAATTTGTTTTTTTTTGTTGATTTTCATCAAATAAACGATGCGATATGTTGTAAGCTGAAGATTATCGAGGCGAAGCGCCATTACCGTATACGGCAAGGAAGAAGACATGAAAGAAGACAATTCATGAAGTACGATGAATATGAAGGCAAGAGAATGAGAGAGAGGCAGAGGAAGAGTTTGGTGAATAATGAAAGAAGGAAATAAAATGTAAAAAAAAAAGATTTTTTTTATGAAAAGCTGAAAATGTTGGAAAACCGTTCGAGGGTAGTATCTAATTGTGACCAGATGTCTCGATGAGTGTGAGCTGAATGAAAGCACACAAACGAGTTTATCCGGAAAAAGATATTTAATAAATAAAAATAACAAAATAAAAAGGTAAAGAAGGCCAGCATTGGACATTCGAAGTTGAAGAAGACTATATGACAGCTGATATGATAACAGGCGACGCCGACAAGGAGAAGCTACGTCTCACTGGTGTCTTTACAGGATTTTTGTTCTTCTTTTTATACTTCTTATGACTCTCTTGCTGTCGTTTGATGAGTATTGTCAAACGAGAATTGAAAAGAAAAGTAAAAAATTGTTTTAAAAGATATGCTTTAAGTGGGTGAGATGCTCATATTCAATCAGCCAATATCACTTTGCTTTCACATATAAATCGTATCAAAAGGTGAAGCGAACGTAAACGATGGAGAAGCAGAAGAAGAGAAACACACAGAGAGAGAGAAAACGAAATCAAATGGCTTTTTTGAAATTTGAACTAAAAAAAAGCAATTTCTACTCAGCTTTTGATGAGGTGAATGTTTGAAGGCCGTTAATGCCCTCAGGGGGCAGACGAAGATAATTTCCAAAGACATTTTTTACACTTTTTTGAATAAAACGTGAGCAGAAGGATGAGAGATGAATAGATAAAAGAGTTTGTTAGTAGGAAGTAATGAAGATGAAAAAAGCGATTGTTAACGTTTATAATCGTCTGTAAAAAGAAAAATGACCAAGAAGATAATGAAGAAGCTGATGATGCTGATGATGATGATGATGAAGCTATGTCGATTGAGAAGTTGAAGAAGAAGCTGAGTAAACAGTATTGTGATGAAGTATGATTCTTATAATTATATGAAAGTTGATGGAAGTTGTTGAAGAAACCATAATAGGAAGTAGTCAAATGAGAGAAGAATAGTAAGTTGGACACGCCCACATATTTCCCTCTGAAAGGCTTTTTCTCTCACGCTTTTCTCTTATTCTAACACTTGTGATGACTTTTTAGGATGCTTTTCAGGTTATTATTTCTCTCTTAAATATATTTTCTATATGTAAAGCTTCAACTTAAAGCTTCTGTCATAATGACAGATGGCAATGATGAGTATTGAAGAAGCCAATAAGCTTATAGGGCAGTTATCATAATTTCTTTTATATAACAATGTTTTTTATACGGAAAATGAAATAGCAATTGGCCAGAAGACTGGTATCGGAGAGCTTTTATAAAGCTTTTTTTGCTTCTCTTTAATGAGATAGATGTTCGAAATTCATTTAAGCTCAAATTGTCAAGAAGATGGCAAAGCTTATTCATCGGGTGGGTCTCATTAAAAAGAAATAAATGATAAGAAGAAAACAGAATAAAAAGAGAGAAGAGTAACAGAGAGAAAGAGAAACAAGGAGAAAAAGAGAAAGAGAGAGGGACAAAGGGAGAAATATCCTTTGGATAAGATACTTGATTTCAAGAATTGATTTGTGTTCCGAATATTACAACTCACTCGTTAGAGCACGAAGGGCCAATTGGAAATTCACAAAAAATGTTAATAACAAGTCAAATTTCAATAAACACAAAGACAAAATCTGAGTCGTACAACGGCTTGAAACTTACTTTAAAGCTTTTCCTTATATGGAATTTGTTACAAAAAAGAAGGGATAGAGGAGAAGGAAAGGAGGGGGGGGGGTAAGAACAAGAAAGATTATGAAGTGTCAGTCTCATTCATAAATGGAAAGAGTCTTAAGAGGGAATATATGTGTGTGTGTGTGTGTGTGAGACCTAAGAGTGAGAAATATATAGAGAGAGAAAGGAATAAAGATAGCTTACTAGAATAAGAAGAAGAGGAGGGAAATACATAGAGAGAGAGAGAGAGAAAGGGTTGGGGGGGGGGAGAAGGCTAAAGAAGAACAACAGTCTTGCTTTTTAAGAGGTTTTTTAATAAAATTTTAAAAGAATAATTGTTATTTTTCTGAAAACAACCAATGAAAACAGAATTTTTTGTTCTTTTTCTTCCGATTTAATTATGAATTTTAGTCAAAAACTACAGTAATCAACGAATATGAAATGAATTGAACTTATAACTGATTGGTAACGAAGACGCCAAAGACAATTGTTAATTAAAGAATTTTAAGGCTAAATAAGGTAGAATAGAGGAAAAGATAGAGAGAGAGAGAGAAGATACAAGAAAAAGAGATAAAGAGAGGTAGAGAGATAGAAAGAGAGAATAAGATGGGAGAGTAAAGGCAAAAGAGTTCAGAATTGAATTGACTCGACTTTCAGGAGTCTTTGGATGAATGTCATAAATGGGCTTGAAGACTTAATAACATAACCATTACGGTAGTTTCAATTCTTGACTTTTCTATATATAAAATTAGTTTTTAAAGAGAGAAAAGTAGAGAGAGAGAGAGAAGGGAAGAGAAAGAGAGAGAGGGAAAGTAAGAGTAAGACATTCATCCATACACATACACATCTGCATGTACCACGCCCAGAATAGATATTGAACAGTTTTTCTTTTTTTTCTGTTGCGAAATTTAAAGTCTTTTAGAAGACAAATTCACGAAGTCTGACGTCATTAGAGGGCAAATGATAATTTGAAAAGAAAAAAAAATGTTCTTGTGTGACTTCATCATGAAGCGACAATTGAGCGGATTGTTCATGGCATTTGTGTAAACAAAATAATTGAAGTACTGTCGATATGATGATAATTATAACAAATATAATATATCGTTAGATATCTACAATTAAAACTAATAAAAAATATCTTTTAATCTCAAATGTATGGGGATTGGATAAGAAATTGAAATGATAGAGTAGCTGTCGTTCATGAAATTTCAGGTCTGTGTTCTCTCAACATTTTCAACTTCATATACCTCTTTACCTCATTCTCTCTCATCACCTATCGTTCTCTCTCTTTCTTACTCTCATTCTCTCCATCTTTCTGTTGTCTCTTAATCTTTGTGTTACAGATAGAAACATTTGAAGAAACTTCTCAATCATTTCAAAAACAAAATTGCAATTATAATGACTAAATAAGGGCAAGCAAAATGGACAGCTAATTCTCTTATCACAAGGTCATCTTTCATCATGAGTTCATTTCAAAAAATAATATTTAAATAATTAAAAATAAGTTTGTTCACACACATCCTTATTAAGCATATACGATTAATGGACAATTTTTAGATGACAGACGATTCAATCGACATACGACCCGCCCAGCTTCAACGGCCTATAGAAGGCCGGCGATGCTGATTGGCTGGCGAATTAAGCTCCGCCCACCTGCAGCATCTAGTCACGCAGTGGACCACCACGAAGTTGGAGGGCCAAAATTCGAAGAGATCAACAAAAAATGAAAGAGAAAAGTATTTGGCATCATATAATGTATCAAATAGATATTAATTCCATAAATGGAATTAAGAAAAAAAATTTTTTTTGAAATTATAAAGCCGTGAAGGAGTACTTATAGCAAATGGTGAGCAGAGTGTCGTAATAAGCTGAGATGGAGAAGCTGTAGGGAAGGAACTTAATTTTTATAGCAGTGTTATAGTATATGGTTACAAAATGAGAGAGAACGTGGGTAATTGGTTGAGCTTATACCATTGGTTAACCAAGTTTGATCAAAGATTGTCCAATTTTGGATATTCTATTCTATTGTTTAAGTTTTCTATTATTCAATTATATTCCTCCGTTCTCCAAGAAAGAAAAAAAATTGCGAGGAAAGAGAGAAGAGCGAAAAGAGGGAGGGAAGTTTTGGAAGAAATCTACTTTTGGTTGATGAGAAGGTGAATGACATGACTGTCAGACGACATTTCAATGAACTGTGAAAGCATAAGATGAGAAGAAGACAAGGTTGAGAATGAATTAGAAAAATAGAGCAAAGTAGTCAAAATGAAAAGAGAAAAAAAAAGATAAAGAGAGAAAGAGAGAGAGAGAGAGGGGGAGAGAAAGAGAGAGAGAGAGCGATTGGCTGAAGGAAGAAAACGAAGACATTGAATATGTTCTTCTATGTAAATAGTATTTACCGCTTCTTCGAGCCCAACACGTTCTCGCAATTCGACGAAGCCAACACATACAAGATACACACAGTCACCACCAAGCTTCATCGAATGTTAATCAGTAGAACAGGTCAGACGACATTAATCTGTTGAGCTCTTTTGAGCAAAAGCGCGAAAAGAATAATTGTGAAGAAGCTTGTTTCGTTTCGACAATGAAATAGGGTATTATATAAAAGATGATTTTGATAAGATGAAGCTTCCAGGTTACGTAATTCGAGATCTCGAAATTCGATTCGATCACCTATCGTCGTCATCATCGATGCACCTACATATATTACAACATAGACGAAAAGCCACACGAAAATTCAAAAGTTGTTCATTGAAAATGATGATTGACGACAAATGAAATTGATAATATCACTCATTCTCATAGAACTTCTCAGCTTCATCTGCAGCATATTGTCTGGCAGAAGCTTGTCTAGACGAGAAAGACCTATTCCATTCGGTTTTTCATCATTTTCTTCCTGGAACACATAGAGACAGAAGACTGTGGACCCTTCTGAAAACTCATCAAAAGACGAAAATGAGGAAGAAGCTTATAATGAAAAGTTGATGATTGCCGTCAGCTAATTGTGAGGAAAAGAAAGAGTAGAAAGGTATTCAATTTCATTTTGACGATGATATCTTATCTTTTTAGTTTTCTCTATTTCTCTAATATTTCATATATCTTTTTTTTTCA